TCCCTGTCCCCTGTTCCTGGTCCCCTCTACAGCTACTCATTGTGAGCGCGAGGGGGACCCTCCTGCTGCCTCTTCCCTCCCATCCTCCCCCCCCTCCCCCTCTTTCCCCTCCTTGTCATTCATCGTCCTCCTCCATCCCTCTTGCTTATAATAACTCTCCCCTGTCGCGCCACAAGACGTGTCGCTAGTGTGGGCCGGGCGTTTCGCCTGGCGCATCCTGACCGTCTACGATTTTGAAGCTTGAAATGTCCAGCAATTCTGCGGAGTGAGGGTGACCCGTTTTAGGCAAATTGTTCTCGCCAGAGGGCTGGTCGTTTTCAAAGCGGGGGCCTCTCGCCGCACGCATTTTCGTGTAAATGGCCCAGGAAGGACCCCAAGCATGAACTCGGGATCGATTCCTGTCTGTACGTGTGGTGGCCTTGAGGACTACTTGGCTCAAGTCGTCTTGCCGCGCTGCGCGTGCTGAGCCCCGCCTGGCCGATCCGTCTGCCTCTTCCGCCCCCCATTTCCTTTCGACCCCCCTCTCATGGCCAGGGCGCTGCTAGGTCTGTGTGGCCCGTGACGTGGACGGGCCCGCCCTGTCACGCGGCTCCGTTTGCGCGGCGCACGTTGCAGGACGACAGCGCGCAGGGGGACGGCATGTCGGAGGACACGGGGTAGCCCTCGTCTGTTGCCTGTCTAGACGCAGGCTCAAACTGCCGACGGGCGCGACGGCGCCCAGCACAGCCGAAACGCTGGGCACCTCCAGTGCCACCATCATCCTGGAAAACCATCTGGGGACCCATGGTTCTCGCGGATCACTGGCTGGGCAAGTCGCAGGCCCGCTCATCTCCGCGAAGGGTCATTTCGGCCTTCGAGCAAATCGAGGCTCCAAAAGTCCGCCATCGAGAGATCGATGTTCACGCCAGCCTCGAGCAGTCGAGGCCTCAACACCGCTGCTCTGCGCGCCGGCTCAAGCCGAGGGCGAAAGCCGACCTGCGCGCTGCAGGGCCCTCCAGTACTGCTTGCCACCCGAACAAAGTCAGAAGTTGATCCACTCTGCGATCTCGCGGCCGAGCTCCTAGGCCACAACTATCTGTGCGATTTGGCGTGGGGTATCCACGTGCCGCAGCAAACCCCGCCACCGTGCCTGCACAACAGCGTAGCAGGAATGAACTTGAGTTTTAGCGCGTCGCGCATTCTCACCAGCCCATCCAGTAACGATGCCCAGGGGAGCTGCACTAATTGGGGGTGCGTGGCATCATTTGGAGAGCTCGGGGAGCCTCCGTGGGCGCTTCTTGGATGCCTCTCGGAGTCTCTTGGGATGTCTCTCGGTGTCTGTTGGAGGTTTTTGGGAACGTCTTGGGAGCCTATGGGGACTCTTTGAAACGTCTTGGGGGCCTCTCTTGGCGGTCTTCAGAGCCTGTGTGTACCTCTCGGGGGCCTCTTGGGGCCGCTGGTGGAACTCTTGGGGGCATCTTGGGGCCTCTTGGGCGCCCCTCGGAAGGCCTATTTTGGCCCCCATCGGGTGGCCTGTTTTGACCTTTCCCCGGGGGAACCCTTATCGGGGGGGCCCTTATCGGGGGAGCGTGGCATCATAAGGATACATCTTGGGGCTCTTTTGGGGCATCTTGTGGTCCTCTTGGGGCTCCTTTTCCGGATCTTGGGGCCCTCTTGCGGTTCTGTTGGTGTCCTCTTGGGAGCCTTGGAGGGCCTCGTGGATCAATGTTGGAGTCCATCACAAAGGGGGGGGTCCCATATCTAGGTCCCCCCTCTGGGCTCTCAAGATCGCCTCTTAGGGCCATCTTGGGCCCCTCTTGGGGCGCTCTTGGGCGCTCTTGGGGCCGTCTGGGTGTCATCTTGAGCCACTCTCGGGGCTCGCTTTGGTGATCTTTGGGCAATCTTGAGGTCTCAGCAGCGCATCGGAAGCGAAACGGCGAGAAGGCATGCATCATTGATGCTCCTTATGTGTTTGAAGTGTGTTGGCCTCTTGGGGGGGGGTCATGAGGGGGCTCCGAGAGCACTTGGAACCTTCTTGGGGCGGTCTTTGGGGCCTTCTGGAGCACGTTGGAAGCCGTCTTGAGCGATATTCGGCCATCGTGAGCAATCTTGGAGGCCATCTTGGCGCATTTGAGGGAGGCCCAGCCATGGTGGGCCATCTAAGGCGCTCTGACCACTCGCGACCCCCCCCGTCCAGACCCAGGGGGAGGGGGTAGGGAGAGGGGTGGAGGCCCCTCGAAGACCGCAAGCCATCTCGCTCACTCCCACCCGCCCTCCCAGCAAATCAGCAGCACCTGAGTCTCAGCACATCTCCTAGGAGCGCCACGCATGCCATGTGCGCCACGGGCAAGGTGCACCAGGTACCCTGCAGGCCCAAGCGTGCGAGGCGCAGCAAGTGGTGCACGTGCTCCACGAGCGCTATGAGAAACCCTTCCCCGACGAGGAAAAAGGAGAGGGGAAGAGGAAGCGCTCTAAACCACCTACGCCCAGAGGGCAGGTGGGATCACCCAAAATCGGCTCCGGGGAGGTGGGCTACTTCCTAGGCGCCCTTGCTTCCGAAACGCGCTAACTGTCGCTTCCCAAGCTAAGCAACAAAAACAAGAAAAACAAGACGCGCGGAGAGGTGCTGGAGCTCGGCCTGACTGATCCAGGGCAGCATGAGCACGAGTTCTCACAGCGCGAGATACCCAGCACGCGCGCGTCGGCGAGTTGCCACGCAGATTTAAAGCACAGAAATCGCCAGAAAGTTTACCGAAGCACCAGAAAGGGAACAACACTTGCAGTGGTCTTCGTCCCAGGTGCGGGCATCTCTCAGCGCCTAATCGGAAAATGTACAGAAGACTTTGCGCTCACAAGCGGGTCTCCCGTGCCCGCGAGGGCCCGCGGCTGCGACGCGCCTCGCCCGCCGCCCGGCAGGGCGCGCTGACGTGCGAGCGCCTCTCGCGCAGCATTTTTCGGACGAGAACCGCCAGTGGCAAACGAGGAGCCCTTGCATCGCGGGCTGCGCTGATTCCGGCAGCTGAGATACCGCGCGGATGGGCAGTCCTTGCCTGGCCACCCGCTGCTTTGTCCGACTTTATACCAGCTCAGTGCTTAACGCACCCGCAGCGCGGATGTCGCTGCGGATGCGTCGCGTCTCTACGCGACCACCGCCTTGGGCGGCGGGGGGGCTGCATGATAATTGTGGGCCCTTGAAGCCGCGTCCGTATTCGTCGGGTCCTTAAGAATCATCCAGTTTCTTCGTGGGACCTCGTGATTCTTCAGAATCCTAGGCGAGTCCTTTGTCGGAGACGCAACGGCGTCGCATCTCCTCTGGCTTCCCGAAACTTCCTGAGTCTTCCTTGGGTTCCGTGGCGCTTCCTGGGACTTCTTGGCGCCCCCCACCGGGCCCCAGAAGACCCCACTGGGTTGTACCAGGCCCATCTGCGGACTGTTTCAGCCCATTGGTTCGGTTCGAATTGGCAGGTCTTGTTCCGACCGATTCGGTTAGGCCTCCAGTCCGGCCAGCTGTGTCATGACGCCTTTGGCACTCATTTGACATTGGCTTGCGTTCGTCCTGATACACGGTGGTGTAAAATACTAGGTGAACGAGGAGGGGGAGGAGGAGGAGGAGGAGGAGGAGGAGGAGGAGGAGGTGGACCAGTGTAAACGCAAGAGTCATCAACGATTTTTGGGATAAACCCTCCCTCCAAGCTCTCTCTTCACAGGCCTCTAAGACAGTTCAGTTCCACTGAAAGAGCTGCCTCGTTGGAAGACAACCGTTTAAAAACTTTGAATGATGCCAGGATATTATTATCGGGACGCCAACGCCACGGATCAACCTGACTGTTGCGTCTTGACGATCTGGAATCGCGCCAGAAAGCCATTCCTGGGACCCCAGCGCCACGAATCAACGCAACTGTGGCGACCTCACAATCTTGAATCATTCCAGAACACCATTTTGGGTACGCTGATCACGGGAACCCGTAAAACTCTTGTATCTTTTGCACCGAATGCGCGCGGCGCTAAGGCGTGAACCACCTTTTGAAAACTACCCGCGCCCAATCCGCGAAACTCTTGCAAAGTGTTAAAACGATCGTGCGCGGCGCTAAGGCGAGAGCCGCATTTGGAAAACCACCCGCCCTCAATCCGTAAAACTTTTGCAACTTTGGAAAACGAATGTGCGCGGCGCCAAGGCGGCAGCCACATTTGGAAAGCGACCCGCCCCCCATTCGTGAAACTGTTGTAAACTGTTCAAACGAATGTTCGCGGCGCGAATGCGAGAGCCACATTTTGAAAACGGCCCGCCCCCCAATTGCGAAATTATTGCCACGTTTTAACCTCCAGGGGCTATTAACGGTGAGGAAGACTCAGGCGCAACGCCCGCCCTGCCCTAAAACAAGCCTCGTGGAACGACAGGGAGAAGTCACTTATAAGGAAAAGGGATGGAGGAGGAGGAGGAGGAGGAGGAGGAGGAGGAGGAGGAGGAGGAGGAGGAGGAAGATCAGGAACAGGAGGAGGAGGAGGAGGTGCTCCTGAATACCCCCAGAGCCCCTTCGGTGTTTCCCCCTCTTTGTCCCCTCCCTAGCCGTGTTGGCTTAGGCGCCTAAGTGAGTTCGAACTGTTCACCCGCCCGAGGAGAAAGGAACCCCTCTTCACCCAACTGCGACCCCCACGATCCCATATGTGTCAGTAGTCTGAGACAGTGGTAAGCGGAGCTATGTCGGAGGAAGCGGTGAGGCAGGCCATGAACCTCGGGGCGGGTGGACGCCCGGCGCACGAAGGCGATGACGGCCGGCAGAGCAGGGGACAGACCCAAGGACATTTGGGAGGAGGTGAGCACGCCCGACACGAAAGCGAGAGGAACAGGATCAGCTGCACCTCCCGGAATCGATGACGGGCAGGATTGGGGGCCCAGTCGAGCCGGATCGAGTGGATCATGGAAGCAGGTGTGGCAGTGGACTCCAGCCGAGGAGGAGACGACAATGTCGTGGAAGCGTGAAGACTGGTCAAC